CATTGCTAGAACAGCAGACTGCCACACAGCATCAAGAGCATGTTTGCAACGCAGCACCCCACTACAGCATCAAACATTGCTAGCAACAGCACACCCACTAAAACATCAAGAACATGCTAGCAACAGCGCACTCCACTACAGCATCAAGACATCGCTAGCAACAGCAGCACTACCACTACAGCATCAAGAGCATCGCTAGCAAACAGTAACAAATAACTACAAAAAACTACGGGGCTGCAAGAAGCATCGCTAGCCAACACAAGTAATAAAATGCTACAAAAATAGAAAAACACAGGACTGCAAGAGCATATTACCATTCAACAGCTTAATAACTGTGGCACATCATAGATAATAAACACACTGATAATGACGTGAAACATGCAGGCATGCAGTGACAAGCAGCAGGCAGGCAGGCAGGCAGGCAGGCAGGCAGGCAGGCAGGCAGGCAGGCAGGCAGGCAGGCAGGCAGCCAGAGGCAGAAGTACAGGAAGACTTGAAAGCAGCCAGGCAGGCACATATAGAAGCAGCCTGACAGGAAGGCAGGCAGATATGGAAGCAGCTTGATAGGATGTCAGGCAGGCAGGAATGCAGGAAGTTTTACACAAGCAGGCAGACAAGAGCCACATACACAAATCACACCAGCCGATAAAACAGACACAAGCAGGCAGAGAGTCACAGAATCACACAAGCAGGCATAGAATGACAGTATCATGTAAACAGGCAAAAAGTAACAGAATGACTTGCGCAGGGAGGCAGAGAATCACAGAATCACGCATGCAGGCAGACAGTCCCAGAATCACACAAGCAGAGTCACAGAGTCACAAAACAGGCAGTCACAAAATCACACAAGCAAGCAGAGTCATAGAATCACACAAGCAGACAGTCCCAGAATCCCACAAGCAGAGTCACTGAATCACACAAGCAGGCAGTCACAAAATCACACAAGCAAGCAGTCACAGAATCACACAAGCAAACAGTCACAGGATCAGCCTGGGTGGGGAGGAGGAGGACGCACACATTCCCCACAAACAGAAACGGGAAGCGTTCCAAAGGTCTCCCTGCTCCACGGTTACACGCGTTTATCCCATAAGTGTCAAGTGACACAAACAGCAGCGCTGAGGCCAATACCTAACATTATGGTCTTCACTAACGCACTAGGTACTTGAATGTAGGGACGTCCTTGTGTGATTCGAAAGGGAAGTACTCTGTGTGTCTTCACTTCTCACTCAGATGTGAACCAGCGTTCCACTTCAACTCGCTTAATGTTGCTACGAATGAATAAAATTTGCAAAGCCATGTGAAATGTCCCGTAATTAACTCTTCATCTTGGTTGTAGCTCTTACTGCAAAATTTTTTACGACTTAGTGCTTGATAATTCTGCCCCGTGGTGTGACCAGCCTCTGGAATCACCTACATTTGCCAAGATGTCAACAACATGCTTAAGCAGAGTACGATCATGTGAGCTCCAGATGTCTGCAATAATATTGGTGCTAGAGTTTACTAGGCTGTGTAAGGGGGTTGTCGATCTTGTCACTAGGATTCAGCCCGTCCATGTGGGATTCCACACGTTGTTCCATCCTACCACCAGGCATAAGGAGAATTGTCAATAGACCCCTGGCTGCCTTCCAGACCAGAGGCTGCCTTCAAGACCCCAGGCTGCCTTCAAGACGCCTGGCTGCCTTCAAGACGCCTGGCCTGCCGCCTTCTGATGTAGGGAGCTGGACGGATACCTAAAGTCAGTACCGACCAGCCGGGCTGTGGTTCGGACTACGTACGGCCCGCAGTAACAGCCTGGTTGATCAGGACCTGATCCACAGGGAGGCCTAATCAAGGACCGGGCCGCGGGGGCGTTGACCCCGGAACATACTCCAGGAGGTACCAAATACCTCGGCAAGGTGTATGCACCGAGTGTGTGTGTGTGTGTGTGTGTGTGTGTGTGGACACCGTCGCATGCGCCCCTCGCAGGTAAATTCAGAAAATTGAGAAGCCAAATCTCGAAAAAATTTAAAAAAAATAGTATTAATTTACACACAATATAGCTTTATTTTGCGACCTTTGGGACATTCCCACCGACGATTTACAACACAGATTTTTTATAACGAAATCGTTAAATTTAATTATTCTGCATCGGCGAAATCCCTAATGCGTTCAAATGCTTTATAATATATAATAATACTTATGACTGTTTTAACTAACCTACGACACTAACAGTTGAACAAAACACATGAAAAACCACTAACTGCAAAACAACATTTCGAACCTTTATCAATAACTTGAAAACTACGTCGTGTAATTTGCTTAATAAACCACCGTCATTATAACGTAACCAAGTGTTCCATCTGGGGTGAAATATTTGTATTTAAATCTTGCTGCCTTACGGTAACGAGCTCCACCTGTCCCCGGTAGGGACGGGGGTTTTAAGAGAATAATCATACGGTCCTTGTAGTATGATTGAGCAATGGTCGATTAATACGCAAATGTTAATGATTAGAGGATAGCAAGAAGTTCCTTGCTGGGCGATGACACACACACACAGAACACACACTCTCTCTCTCTCTCTCTCTCTCTTCTCTTCTCTCTCTTCTCCCCCTTTTTCTCTTCCTCTCTTTACACGTGTGTATTTGTATGTATCGTGCCAAAGCAGAATTAAAATATTTTATATCTTAAACCCGTTCCTCAATTACACATCTATGCTAAGCTAAACTCCAATACGATACACCTCAGACGCTGATTAGACATCCAGTGCCGGCCAGATTTCCTAGCCAATCACGCACTCCAAGCCGCATTGAAGAGCCCGTAAATAAAGCACATTTCCACAGTCTATCACTGCAAATGCTTCCAATAGGGAAAGCTTGTTTTCAGGAAATAAATTGGAAGGGCCATAAATTCTTCAGAATTAGAATAAGAGAAGAAAGGTGTAGTAGGGATATAAACAAGTGGATTATACCGTTTGTGATAATATATTTCAGTGTCTGCCCTTTGGGTACATTGAATAGGGATCGATCCCCGGTTTTTTTTGAAGGAATGGCAAATGGACATTGATGTAGCTAGTTGTATTTAGAGTTTTGTTTAAATAATTTAATGCCTTCTGCAATAGCCAGCCTTTTTTCGGGTTTACTAAACTTCGATAATAATTAAGAGAGAGGAAAGAGAGCAACACGCGAGTACAGACGGGGTTTCTTATGGATAAATGGGTGGTGAGACAGAGAGACAGAGACAGACAGACTCTGTGTGTGTGTCTGTGTGTTATTGTAAGAAACTCTCTGTTGAAACTTTTCGTTCAGGGTGAAACGCCTTCACGAAGGCTTCTCTGCAAAGTTCTTTACGCAGATCACAGCTTCTAACTTGTTGCAGTGTCTGACAGATGTGATGAATGGTTTTGAAAACCGACAAGTTGAAGAATTGAGACACTAAGTGTCTCAGTTCTTCAACTTGTCGTTTTCAAAACCATTCATCACATCTCCCAGACACTGCAACATCATGGGATCTTGGTAAAAAGTCTT